TTCTCAAGGCAGTGGGGTTATTTTCAACCATGCAGTTAATTAATACCTCGCCAGTTCGTTAATAATCCTCGTCAGTGCTGTAAATTAGCTTGTATGATTGGGAAAGAATGCCCAATATGATTCTTCAATCACGTTCGAAGGAAATATTGGAGCTGAGCAGAAAGAAGGGATCTTCTTACATTTGTCTTAGCAGCCCGGTCCCGCCCAGGAAAGAAAATGCCATCTTATCAGACAAAGAAGTTAATTAGAGTGCCAATTTCTTTTTGTTGCAGTACTTTTGAATTGTAGGTGCATAATAGCATAGCTAAGGTAATAACATTTATTGCATTGTCCCATGGTTGACATTATTAACACAATCCATTGTTCTGCTAGCAATCAATGTATTACCCAAAATTACTGATTATCCTAAATTGAAATTGCCTGAATGAGTCCAGCTCCGATAGTACTCAGAAAGCTTAACACCATTCGGGATGAAGCAGTCCACTTGAACGTGTATTGGACCAGACCAGAACCCCTCAAAATATTTTAAGAAGGTAGCTAGACCCTAAATTTTTCTTATCTTAAAGGCAAATGTGAAGTGCTGTATTCCAGATGCAGTTCAACAGTTCATCGTTAAGCAAAACACAATTTATTCAAGCACTCTAGTTAAGATACAACAAAAGAACAAAGAACTTAGAATAACCTAACTCTATTGGAAAACTTAACAGAATAATAGATACAGCACCTATAACCAATTAACTGTTCCAGGTAGTAACATCCCATAAACACACCCCCTGGCAAAAAGGCAAATTCAGAAATTGGATTTTCTCACATGCAACCCAGCAGCAGAGAGAGAAAAATAATATCAAACAAAGATTCAGAAAGAGCAGTAGCCAGGTGATATTTATTGCAGTTTCTAACCCTTTTGAGACTACAATAGGAACTGCAGCAACATTTCAAAGCTAAGAAACTAAAAACTAGAAATTGTGGTCTGTGAGAGCTAGCCACATCCATCCAGGCTGCTTCTATTGTTCCAACTTTAAAATAAAAGCCCAAGGTCTCCCAAGCAGTTTACTTTAGAGGAACCCACTAGACAGCTTGACACCTCTGCCCTAAAACCTCTCTTCAAACAAAAAGGACAAAATACACCCCTTAAAGCAATAGCAACATCACAACCGGCATCACATCCATCCATTTCAACATTTACTTCCTCCACCACTGATGCTCAGTAGCAGCAGTTGTACCGTCTACAAGATGCACCGCAGAAATTCACCAAACCTCTTTGAACAGCAGCTGCCAAAACCATGACCAATGCCATCTAGGGAGTAGATACATGGCAACACCACCACCCACAAATTCCCCTCCAAACCACACACCATGCTGACTTGGAAATATGTCACTGTTCCTTCAGTGTCATTGGGTCAAAGTTGTAGAACACACTCCCTACCAGTAAGTGGCTCACCAGCATCTCCTCAAGAGCAATTAGAATTGGGCAATAAATGTTGGCCTGGCCAGTGCCATCTACATCCTACGTGTTGGATACATAAAATTGCCAAATCAGCAGAAACCTGCAGATTTAGCACCGAGGTGCTGATTCTTTATTTATTCCTAAATCCAGATTTTTATTGGCTTCAAACTTCACCATCTGTCAAGTTGGTGTCACCATGGTCCCAGGTCATTGGCCTGAGCTTCTAAGTCACCAGTTTGGTGACATTGTCACCGTCTTCCCCATGTAATGTTTCCATAAAGTACTATCCCTGGAGCAGAGTGTGAAAGTTTCAGACACTGGTGTGGTGTGGGGACGCCATGCGCACATAGTGACAGCTTGCAGAAGGGCTCATTGTGAGAGGGAGAAGGGAAACATGGTATTGGGCACAGCACTGGAGGTCCTCGTTTAGAAAGTGCAGAGGTAGATAACAAGTCCACGGAGGGAAGAAGTCCACTCACTCATCTTACTCTCCTTTCCCAGGAGTTGTTATCACTCTCCCAGGCCGCCTGACTTCCTCCCATTCCTCTACCAGACCAAGAAGCAGAAAGACCCGAGCACGCCTGTTCCCCTGATGATTCTTATTCAGCATCTGCCAAGGACAAACGACAAAGCACTCTTTCACTGCTGAAGTGTAGTGCTCAGAGAATTTGCAGAATTAGTATTGGGATCTTAGTTGGTGTAATCTTGACCAGATTCCCGAAAGATTCCTCATATTTTAGAGGCCCTCTCCACGGTTCCACCGTGCAAAATGGTGAATATCCCTTCAAATTAGACTCATCGATGTGTTTAATCCCAAGCAGTTGGCTGCTATTTGGAGAGGATGTTATTTAAACCAGAAACGACCACAACACCTCTTTAATCGGCTCTGTTCACTGAATGTCGGGATGGGCGTTGCTAGTCACCATTATCAAAATGGTGTCCTGTGCTAGATGAGGGCTAATGTGGTACTCCTATTCAACACCCAATCATAACCACCTTGGAGAATAGCCAGTACTTGAATCCCCTTCTGAAAATTGCCCCCTCTGTTTTAATCTTTTTCCTTAAGCAGCTGATTATTTTTACATTTTTAGCGATCCCTGTGTTTGGTCTCATTATTCCCTAACTTGTGGGTTGGTTGTTCTAACTGTGCCATGGAGGGTGAGCACTCTGTGTGATTTGTTTGAGGGTACTGGGGTGATAACACTAGCTCAGAGCCATCGATGTGGGACGTGTGTGTGTGGCTAACCACGCGGGTCCCGACCCGAAACATCAGTTTTCCTGCTCCTCTGATGCTGCCTGGTCTGCTGTGTTCATCCAGCTCCACATCTTGTTATGCTCAGGAGTAGAAAGTTTTTTGAAATGATTTGTATCTGAGGGTGCGCTTGAGGTTGTAGACTTGCTCGCCGAGCTGGTGTGTTTGATTGCAGATGCTTTGTTACCCTGCTAGGTAACATTGTCAGTGCCCCCCTGGTGAAGTGTTGATGTCCTGTCCCACTTGTTATTTATATGCCTCGGTTTGCTGGGGAGGTTGGCATCACGTCCAGTTCTGTTTTTCACTGAACCGGAAATAATGCCAACCACCTCAGCAAATCAAGGCGTATAAATAAAGGGGGAGAGAACACTGTCACCCATTTCCTCTTCCTTGCGTTGAGCATGGATATATTAAAGAGGAGGCTTGTGAGAGAGGAGGGAATGGGAGGATGAGATGGGAGGTAAGAGGAGGTTCATGTAGAATCTAAACAGTGACGTGGACCAGTTGACCCGAATGGCCTGCTTCTGTGCTGTAAATGTGATTTAATACAATTAATAGATTGGCATAGCACTGGAAAAGACCATTCAGTCCATCAATTCCTTTCACCGTCAAGAACTGAACTAATTCCCTTTGGAAGTGAGGATTAAGTCTGTTCCCACCACCCATCATTCCAAATGAATCAGCATCAGAACAGAATCAGAATCCTCACAGTGTGGAAACAGGCCATTCAGCCCAACAGCATCCCACCCAGACCCCATCCCCCTCCCCTCACCCTGTAACACACCTAGCCTGTACATCCCTGAACACTATGGGCAATTTACCTGAGCAATGATTGTTCGAGAAAGATTTATTGCATCTGGCTTCCTTCTGGTTATTGATCCCTCATCCACTGGTCCGAGTTTCCCTTTATTTACCCTGTCCAAGCCCTTTCTGATATTAAACTTGATTTAACCCCTCTTAGCCTTCTTGTTAACTAGGGGCAGCACAGTGCATCGAGTGTAATAACCTTCAAGCATCACTCTTAGCCATCACATTCCATATTAATGTTACACACCATCACACCAGCAACATTACCCAAAGGTGTAAGCTCTCCCATCTAGAAGGACAAGGGCAGCAGATACATAGGAACACCACCCCCTGCAAGTTCCCCTCCGAGCCACTCACCACCCTGACTTAGAATTAGCTTCATTGTCACATGCGCTCACATGAGTACAGTGAAAGGTTTACACGTTGCCACTTACGGTGCCATCTTAGGTACAAAGTTACCTAGGTACAGATTCTTGAGAACAAATTCTTGGTAATATATCGCCATTCCTTCAATGTCATTGGGACAAAATCCTGGATTCCCTCCCTGGGCCAACCTACAGCAGGTTGACTGCAGCGGTTCAAGAAGACAGCTCACCACCACCTTCTCAAGGGCAACTAGGGATGGGCAATAAATGCTGGTCAACCAGCGGTACCCATGTCCCATTAAATAATTAAGAAACAAAATATTATTATATCTGCTGGTATATTTAAATACTATTGATGTTTCAGTCGCTTCATTATTGTAAAATACCACTGTGCACCAGGGGAGACCGGATTTTTTTATGTTATTTTATTTGCGGCATTGAAACAGTATCTTATCAAATTCAACAACTTCTAAATGCTGGCCCACATCTGTGAAAAGTAATAGAACTGTTTGCTGCAGCCGTTTCTTTGGTGCCCAGTTGTTTTTTTGAAAGCCAAATAAAATAAAGCACTGAGATACTGACGGATATTTTTCTTTTTGATAATCTGGACCCACCAGGAAAACAACAAAGGGAAATTATGTTGTGTGGAAGTTGGTGTAGCTAATTGAAAACATCAAAGGCCTGTGTAAACAAATGTAATATTAGGGCCATTTAATTTATACTCTGGTGCCGAGAAACAAAGAACAGCTTGGAAAGTGAGTGACTGTCCCTTGGCAGTCGATCTCTAGTTGATTATTAAATAAGAGACATATACTTTGAAGAAACAAAAAACATCTATTCCGAACGTGGAGAGGGACTGTTAGGCTTTCAGTAGTTTTGGTAAAATTCTTTGGTTCAGGAACAGCTTCTTTCTAGTCGTTGTCAGACTGTTGAATGGACTCTGGCCTCAAATAATGTAACCCGAATGCTTCTAAGTAAGTCTTTTTGATCTGTACATCCTTTGCTTGCTGTGATCTGCCTGTAAACAAAGCTTTTTGGTGCACGTGACAATAAATCAATCAATCAATCAATGAGGCCAGTGAGGCCCAGTCATATCATCTGCTCCTGGCCTTGCTTCCTAAATGATCAGATCCACTTACACATCGTTTCAACTTTTTGCAAGGTTTTGACCTCTATGGCAACAATTAGAATCCCAAAAATGCAAGAAATTATTGTTTCTCAACTCCTGAGATATTTCCTTTCTCCAAAGATACCACTTTGTTGATTCTTGATGCCAATATCCAAATGTGCTTTGAGTATATTCACTCAGTGATCTTTGTCCCCCATTCATTTCTCAAGTCTATATCGGTCTGAGGAAAAATGTCTGGCTTCTAACCTTGTGGCCATTTGCTTGACTATTCCTGGTAGTGAAATCCATGATTGTTCCACCTTACTTTCCCCAAAATCCTTTTTTTTCCATAATCAGGAAGACTTCCCTTTGTTCACCTCATGCTTCTTCTGTTCTAAAGAATGCGAACTTATTAAACTTTCTTTAAAGGTCAAGTTGCCATAGTCCCACTGTTCCATTAGAGAGAAACAGTGTGTGGTGTGTTTAACCTGAGGGTCACCACACCCAAGGCAAGGGATGAGGTTGAGAAGATTGGACCTTCATGGTAACCCCAGCTAATGTACAAATTGAACCTACATTACTAACATCACCAACCAGCCATCCAGCCAACTGAGCTAACCAAAGTCCAAGAAGTACTAAAGAATCTACGCCTATCTTCAGCAATCCTCTTTCCGCACTCACTGAAGATCCTTCTCTATCCATCTGATGCCATTCCAGACTAATCCCTGTACATGGTCTGTATTCCTTTGTTCCCTGCCTGTTCATGTGTGTCTCTAAATACCTCTGTTGTATCTGCTTCTACCACCTGCCCTGGCAGTGCGATTCAGGCACCTTTTACCCTGTGTGTAAAAACTTTCTCACACATTCCTTTAAACTTCCCCCCCCCTCACATTAAACCTATGCCCCTAGTATTTGACATTACCACACTGGGAAAACGACTCAGACTGTCCACCCTATCTATGCCTCTCATAATTTTATACACTTCTATCAGGTCACTCCTCAACCTCCAACACTATTGAAAATGATCCAAGTTTGTCCAACCTCTCCCTAATAGCTCACGCACTCCAATCCAGGCAACATCCTGATAAACCTCTTCTGCACCCTCTTCCAAGCCTCCACATCCTTCCTACAGTTTGGTGACCACAACTGCACACAATACTCCAAAGTGGCCTCACTAAAGTTTTATACAGCTGCAACATGACTTTCCAACCCTTACACTCAATGCCCTGACCAATGAAGGCAAGCAGGCTTTACACCAAATGAATGTTTGCGGAGAAATTTTTTTCATTGGTTTGTAGGATGTAGTTGTTGCTGGCTGACCAGCATTTATTGCCCATCCCTAAATGCCCTTGAAAAGCGGTGGTGCGTTGCCTTCTTGAATCGCTGCAGTCCACCTGCTGTGGTTTAACCCACATGCCCTTAGGGAGGGAGTGCCAGGATTTTGACCCAGCGACAGTGAAGGAACGGCGATATATTTCCAAGTCAGGATGATGAGTGGCTTGGAGGGAAACTTGGAGGTGTTGGTGTCCCCATGCATCTGCTGCCCTTTTCCTTCTGGATGGAAGTGATCGTGGGTTTGGAAGGTGCTGCCTGAGGATCTTTGGTGAATTTCTGCAGTGCAGTAAACACTGTAGATAGTAAACACTACTGCTACTGAGCGTCGGTGGTGGAGGGAGTGGATGCTTGTGGATGTGGTGCCACTCAAGTGAGCTGCTTTGTCCTGGATGGCATCAAGCTTCTTGAGTGTTGTTGGAGCTGTACCCATCCAGGTAAGTGGGAAGTATTCCATCGCACTCCTGACTTGTGCCTTGTAGATGGTAGACAGGCTTTGAGGAGTCAGGAGTTGAGTTACTCGCTGCAGTATTCCCAGCCTTTGATCTGCCATTAGCCTGGCATCTGTCACCAACAAGCTGCCAGAATCTGTTATTAAGGGTGTAGACAACTTGTGAACCTACAGTTTGAGTTGGCAGAGTCAACACAATATTGTATTACAGAAGGGAAGACGATGAATCTGCTGCAGTATTTTGACGGTATATGGAGAAGATTAGGTAAGGGGGAAGCAGACGATATGATACACTTGGATTTTCTGAAGTTATTTGAGAAGCTGCCACACAGGGAGTTGTCGCATAGATTAGACCTCGTGGGATTTGGGGTAATATTGAGGATTGGTTAACCCATAATGAAACAGCAAAGGAATATAAAGGTCATTCTCGGAACGGCAGGGCCTTATTAATGAACTGCCAAAGGATCAATGTTCACGTCTTAACTATTTACAATCCATACCAATGACTTAAATCGATTTTCCAACTTTAATGAATTAATTTGACTTGCAAGTTTTTCTTATTGAAAAGAAAGTCATAGTTTTTCATGCAAGTTCTTTCCAGTGTTTATACAACTTGGGAGAGGGGGCTGATAAAATTCCCTGCCCTCAGTAGACTTATGGTTCTTCTCCCATTCCATTTATGCTCAGGTTACCTCAGTGTGATTATTCTGAAAATTTACAGGACAGCCTGTTTTATGTGTCCATCTCTTCAAGGTGTGCAGTTCTCGTCGCCCTGTTATAAGAAGGATATTATTAAGCAAGAGAGGGTTCCAAAGAGATTTACTGGGATGTTGCTGGAAATGAAGGTTTTCAAATATAAAAATAGACTGGAAAAGCTGGGACATTTTTTCATTTGAGCATAGGAGGCTGAGGGATGAATTTATTGAGGTTTATAAAATCAGGAGGGGCATTTGGATAAGTTCATGAATAAGAAGGTTCGGGAAGGATATCGGCCAAGCGCAGACAAGTGGGAGTAGTTTAGTTTGAGAACTCGGTCAGTGTAGATTTGTTGGACCAAAGGGCCTGTTTCCATGCTGTATGAGTTTATGATTCTGGAATCTTACCAAATTCTGGACCATCTTATCAAATATTGTTTGATGCCACACTCAATCACAAAGATAGCATCAGTGGAATGTGCAGTCTGGATGGACTGGCAAAAGATTGCACACGCTTGCTTTTATCTATTAAAGAGGGAGTTGGCAGCACAGAGGTAGTGTTGCAGGGCTAATCGTCCAAAGGCCCCAGCTTGTGCTTTGAGAGGGGAGTTCAGACCTCACCACAGCAGCTGGTGAAGTTTAATTCAGTTAATTAAAAAAAAGGAATTGAAAGTTACAGTGACCAAGCAGTTGGTTCGTAAAAACCCTGCTGATTTATAGGCACTCTTTAGGGGAGAATCATAGAATCCCTGCAGTGCTGAAGCAGGCCATTCTGCCCATTGAGTCCACACTGACCCTCTGATGAGCAGCTCATCCATATCCAATCCCCTACTCTGTAACCCTGCATTCCCCATTGCTAACCCACCTAGCCTGCATATCCCTGGACACTATGGGCAATTTTGCATGGCTAACCAACTTAGCCTACACATCTTTGGACTGTGGAAGGAAACTAGAGCGCAAACTCCTTACATACAGTCACCCGTGGGTGGAATCAAACCTGGGTCACTGGCGCTGTGAGGCAGTGGTCCTAACCACTGAGCCACCGTGCTGCCCTATTGGTACCTAATACTTGTCACTGCAGCCCCACAACACTGCGTTAGATTCTTAAGTGTTCTCTGAAATAATCCAGCGAGGGAATTCAGGGGCACTGAATGCTGGCCTTGGGAGCAACGTCCCACTTTCCAAGGAAAGAGTCATTTAAAAATGTGGATACAAACCGATGAGGAAATGGTGGTGGTGGGTTTTGAGACCAGCTGATCGAGAAAGCATTGGGGAGTTTGTGTTCAGGAAGGGTTTCTGTGCCAGACAGCCAGACTTGCTTAAGGCCTTCTAGATAAATGGGCAACTCCAGGTTTGCATGGCAAGTCATTGCATGATGTTGTGACTGCCTTGTAACCTACCCATCAATAAAACCTGTGGAGTGCAGAGAACCAAGGAGACTAATGGAGCTTCATGTTTTTCTGCCTGTAATGTTTTCCTGAATGATTTTGTTTTGTCTTACTTACTAATTAATAGAGAGTGGATCAATACCTGATGACTATATAAGAATATACTTCCCTCATGCATTAAATTGCACTATCCTAACCATTGCCAGTTCCCTTCCTGTTGATTTAGGGCAGTCTGCCACCCATTTGGTTTGAAGAAGCAAAATCTGAGCCTTGACCTGTACAGACAATCCTAACTGAAGTCTGCATTTCTAATTCAAATAAAAAAGACATTTCTGCCCCATCTCCTTCTGTAAATGCTTGAACTATTGAGAAATTTTCATCCCCTTCGTGAAGCAAGCACCAGAATGCAAACTTGATAACAACAACTTGCATTTACATGGCAGCTTTCACATAGCAAACTTCCAAGGATGCTGCACTGAAGCAATTATGAAACAGAATTCAGCACTAAGCTGGATAAAGACATGTAACCAAAGCCAAAAGTCAGAACTGAAGAAAGGTCACCGTATGCAAAATATTAACTTGGATTTTTCGTCTCAGATGCTGCCAGACCTGCTGAGCTTTTCCAGCAACTTCTGTTTTTGTTCCTGATTTACAGCATCTGCAGTACTATTGGCTTTTTAACCAAACCAAAACTTGGTCAAAGCTTTTAAGGAGCATCTTCCTGAAGGAGACAGAAATAAAATGATGGATTGTTTAGGGAGGGAAGTCCCAAATTTAGGGCTCAAGGTGCTGAAGGTGAAATAAGGGGCTGTAAATGTGGAGTTAGAGGGAATGAGGGATGCAAAAACAAGGATTATCATTGCAAATTTGGTGAACCAGTACACAAACTTACATTGGCAAGCATAGTGTTGGTGGATGATGGGAACTTGGTGTGCTGTTGAACTGAGATAGAAGAGTTTTTGAACAGCTCAAGCTATTGAAGAGTGCAAGTTGGGAGACTGGCCACACACATGTCATCTTGCATTCTGATTAGCGCAAAAACACCTCACCTTCAAAAGATTTCACCTTTAAGGACTCCATGTGCTGTGTGTATACATTGTTGTGACTCTGCCTGATGGTTTTGCCTGCTTTGGCTCTGCAAACTGCACAGACACAGAAACCAACTGGCTG